GTTATTGAAAATAATTCACAAAACAAAGATCTACTGTTGAGAAATAAACTAAATCATCACATGTGTATTTGAGATATTGTATTGAAACAAAATACACACAATAATGTGAAACCTGTCCATATATCTTATGGTATAGTTGTATCCAATATAATTATATCAAATAGTTAGTTGTCCACATCACTGATATTCTGATGAAAGACAATGATTGAAGATTAGTTATTTACACTTTGCTAATACATAGATAAATGTACATTCTTAGAGTCTTTACTCATGACCATTTGGGAGAGTAAATGATTAATGATATTATTAATAACTATTAACGTATGAAAATATCTGAAAATGTTGAAAGATGTGAACAGCTGTGAAACATTAAGCATTGACACATCTATCGTCAATATTCACCAAGGATTTTAATTCATTGCATAAATTTATGCATGTAATTCAAACTCTTCCAGAAGTGAAACGTATAATTTTGCCTGCATGCAAAATGAAATTATTTTTATAAAATCAATCCATGTGAAACTGTTATTGATACTATATTTTAGTATAGAATATACTCTCCCCAAAAAAAAGAAAAAAAAGAAAAAAAAGCGCATATAGGAATTGTAATTATAATGGTGGCGCTGAAGTCAATACCTCGTGTGACTACCGTGGACAACTAGAACTGCACAGCATCGCCTCGGCATCGAACGAATAAGTCTCAGAATCTCGTGTTGCCCAATCGCAGCCCACTCTGCCTGTAGTGCCTGTGCGAGTTGCTGAAGTGTCTGGGGCTTAGGGTTACGGCGTTGCACCTGTCTGTCCAGGGCATCACAAAGATGTTCGATCGGGTTTAAGTCCGGTGATCTTGAGGGCCAGGGGAGCACATTGATGTCTTGGTTCTGGAGGAAATCTCTAGTGTGACGTGCTGTGTGGGGCCTGGCATTGTCCTGTTGAAACAACTCCCTCTGGCGATCAATGATTGGAAGGAGGTGTGGGCGTAGGATTTCATCACAGTACCGTTGAGCTGTCAGGTTGCCCTGGATCATCACCAGATCACTTCTTCTACGGCGGGTGATCGCTCCCCACATCATAACACTTTCCCGGCCGAATCTGTCTACTTGGGGGAACGCAAGCGTCGGCGAAACGTTCACGTCGACGTCTGTACACCCGCATTCTTCCATCGCGTCGTTCCAATAGAAATCGTGATTCATCACTGAACCAGATTCTACGCCAATTCGGTAGCTTCCAGGCCTGAACGTTGGTGCACCATTGAACTCGATGTCGGCGATGTTGTTGTCTTCTGGCACGTAAACCAGCCTCTCACAACCTGTTCCTGACGGTCTGTGCAGAAAGCCTCCTCAATCCGGGTATTTGTCGAGCTGTACTGGTCGCCGTAGCTGTTCGATGACGCAGGTGATGTACCCGGATGTAGCGATCCTGCGCCGCAGTGGTCGCTCGAGGTCGCCCACTACGAGGGGCGTCTGCTACCGCATTCTGCCGGCGATATCTCTCCCAGAGCCGTGAAATGGTGCTTTGGTGAACATTCATGCGTCGGGCAACTGCACGTTGAGACTGGCCAGCTTCAAGCAAACCAATGGCGATCTGACGGTCGGCTTCACTTAGACGTGGCATTTTGCGTTCGTCAACAATATTCCAAATACAGTGAATAATCGACAGACAGCGATCAACCTTTTATACCTATCATTGAGACTATCTGATCCCCAACTTGCAGGTGAATTGCATGTGAATTGTGTAAATCTGTGACACTACACGCCGAAATTGAAAATCATGCTGTTAAATACGGGTATTTTACGGATGGTGCGTTTTGTTGTGATATTTCAAAACATAAACACCATAGGACCCATAAACAGAGCAAAACATTTTGTAAAATGAATCACGTTTTAATTCATTGCTACATGAAATTGCTATTTTCATGATGCGTTTCTTTTTTGGGGAGAGTATATATGCATTATGCATTTGCTAATATTTTATCACAATAAGAAAAGCGTGAATGTTATTTTAAAACACAATTTTTGTCACCCTCATATCCCCGTACCTGTTGTTGAGGCCGGACAGCTGCCGATGTCGATGTCGTTATTGCGTCAGACAGAGTAAAAAAATCAAAGCATCATCAGCAAGACTTACAGTTATATGTTTCTTTTCAACATATCAAGTGACGAATCAAGTGATTTTCCTAATATCAACAAAAGTTCAAATGAAAGATACTGAGAAACTTAAATGTGGACTGTTGATAAACTACTGTTCCTGGGTCACGGACGCATACAAGGTCAATAAGCTTTTATGATATCTGAACTATATGGTGAAAAACACATTGTGTTTTTCCTATGAGCTATGAATAATCATACTAGATAGTTATTTGTGTTACATTTGGGTTTGACACACGAACTATCTCCAAATTTACTGTTAGTATTCAATAACGAAAGATTATTAGCAGACAACCCCTGTCTGTGACATTACATCCGGTGACCTTTGCACCTACAGGAAAACTGAAGCTTAGATTTCGCGATCTTAAGTTTCGTTTTCCACTCGTCATATTCAACTGAAAATGATAAATGGAACTCTCGTAGAATGATAAGTTCGTTAAATTCGCCGGGGTTTACACATGAAAGTCGTGTAAACTTTGTTCAAATTGAAATAGCAATATTTTATGTTGAGGTTGGTTTTCGTACGCGTACCAGAATGCAAAACCGGTATTTTAATGTAGGTTAGCGTCGAAAACAATGACCATAACACTTGAAATTAGGACTGGTGAAAAGTCATAATAATAGAAGCGACAAAACCTTTACCACATCCATACGAAATCTGTGCTAAACGAAGAGTCGACTGTACAACTTTGTCTTTATCATGAGTTTAGATTTGTTTCAGCAGTATTACAGCTGTACGATGTTGTTTGTAATCAAATCGAGTCTGGATCAGACAATCCAGTGATTGTCACCATGCGATACGATGACAGAGCATGTGTTTATGAATCACTATGACATAGTGATGATACTAGGTGTTCGCGAAAAGTTAACCGTACCCTACCCTGCCCTAATTTAACGATTATACAGATTCCTAACATGAAACCCATTCCACTGTTCAATCAAGTAATTCTGGTAAACTCTACAAAAGTTACATTATAATATGTCTATTTTGACCTTAACCTGTGTATGTTTGGAAATTATCAGGATATTTTTAGCTAATAATGTTAATTTTTCTACCAAGTATTAATGTGCAAAATATTGGTTCAGCTGTCCCTTATTTAATGACACACCGACTGTTTGAAATCACCCGAATCTTACAACACCTTATGCTGAAACTAATTCAGCAGGCTAAAGGTTTAATAGCTAGCTTCCTCAATCACTTCTACGCGAAACGGCTTCGCACAGTTTCGAAGAAAGTAAATATGAAGTATTTATGCTGGATTTTTCAACGCAATAAGAAACAGGTGTACGTTCGTGTGTCTCGAAAACTGCATATACAGCTTTTATTATAGCTTTCAGAAAATACTAAATTTAGGTTTCTGAAAAATATGCATATGCGTGAAATTCGCTGTTATTAATCGTCAAATTTTGCTTAAATAATGCACGTTTTTGTGCAAATTTGACTGTATTTGATTTTGATTTTGACGTTTTCATTCATGTCGTTCATGAACTTGAACAACTGTCAATGGCCCTAGCAAGTTAATGTATTTTCATTGATAACACTTTTAAACGCGTTTTTTTTGTGACGGGGCGCGGTGGGCGAGCTGGCTAAGGCGCTAGGCTAGTGGTCCAGAGAGGTTAAAACCTGGGAGTCAACTTTGTGTGCAGGCTCTTTCAGTGTTGTCACAACCCCTAGTGTAAGTACACAACCTTGTGCACTTAAAAGAACCCACCAATCCGTTGGTATATGACCAGATGGTGGCCACATGAATAGGTGCAAACACCTAGTTGCGGGTACAGCAAAGTGCAGTAAACTTGGACAAAGTACTGTGACTATGTGTTCCAGTCCAACCAACTGTGAATGGGTACCTCGTTAGGATGAGAAAGCCACAATAACTCGGTGCGCCGAGTGGCAGCAGGAGTAGTATTCTACCCAGGGAGTTGAGATTGATATTACGATGTGCCGTTAAAACTGACATCCAATGATCGAGGGGAAAATACCAGCGCCTTGAGCATGCACCATTTGCATGGATATGTGCGCTATATAAATATACTATAATAATACAACAACAAAAAATAATATCCCTGTCCGCAGTCAAACAGTCACGTGAATGAGTGACCTCCTCGCATAACGGAAGACCGTCTCGCGTACACGTTACGTCCTCTGCTGTTAAGTATTTAGGACTTCACTTCGTTCGCCTTCTTTATAAACGTTGTTCACCTTTAATGAATACTTTTGTTTATGTGAGGAAACTGTAGAGATATTCACTGAATATATATCACATAAGGTTGTTTCGTGTGTCGTACATGTATGTTGTCTCATAGCTACACATCAAAATGCCTTTTTACAGTTAACAGATCTGATAAACGTATGCATGATATAATATAAATGGAGATTTTAAGACAGGGTTTCAGACAGGTGACCAAACCTTTGCGACACTTTTACTTAAAATAACATTTGTCAGTAAACGTGAATGGGAGTAATTTCCAACAAATCAATGAATTCGTTTGTTCGCTTATTTGAAGTACAAAAATGAACGTATTGTTGGTTAAATCATCATCAAACAGTAAAAACTGTAATTTACTAAAACAAGATGAAAAACTTGGCACATTCTGTGGTTCATCTCACAAACTGTGACGTTCTTTCCACACACCAGTTATGCACATTTTTAGGTGTTATATTTTGTGTGTCAAATCAAACTTGCAATTGAAATCTGTGAAGGCTTCTCCATTCCATTAAGTTTTAATTAATCTTTCTCGACATGAAGTAATGATATATCCCATACACGCGATCGACGCTCACCTAAACCAAGATTATATTATACTATTAGATTATATAGATTTGATAAGGTTAGATGAACCTTAGTAACTTACCCTCGTGCGTTACAGCAGTTTACTGCTGAGTTACTCTCCGTTTTGTGAGGGCACGAACCCAGTCCTTGATATCTATCCGTGTGATCAGTTTGAATTGTCTGTCATATCTATATGCAAGCGGTCCTTGTTTGTCATGGAACACTATCCCACTCACTGGTCTGACAGCAACATGAACAACTACAGCATCTTCATCACCATGTCCATCATGTACAGCTTCTCCACTGTCTCGCCGATAAACTAATTCCTCCGCTGGTGTGCAAGGAATAAAATGAATTTGGAAAATATTTGGATCTGGGCATAGTTCATTTCCATCATAGTCACAGACCAGGACAGTATTCTTGATGTTATCCCCTAAAGTGTCCCCGAAAACGGTTCTGTCCTTCAGGACTACTGGTTGGATGCGGTTTACTCTAGTCTCATAACCATATCCCTTCTTGAAAATAGTTTCCTCATGGACGCCATAAAGAAAGGAGCCACCACATTCAATTTTAGTAAATGCGGTTATATATTCTGCAAGTTTATGATTCTTGATGATGTCCTGTGCTATTGCTCGACCATCTTTCTTTTGAGAAAAGTGACTTTTCATTTGAATTGATCTGTTTTCGTGCACATTCTGAAGGTGATGTGCCCGGGTCAAACCAGGAAGTGTATGGAATGTTTCGCTTACGGGTTTTCCCCTCTCTAAGAAATGTTCTGAGCGTTTCTGCACGAATATCTTCGATGCGGTCATCGAGTGGTGTTTTCGTATTGAATTTAGAAGTCGTTACATTTAAAGAAGCTCCAACATACAGCACGTGAAAGTCGCCAAAGTCATGACAAGCATAACAACTGCTCAGTGCCTGTTTCTTGTAAACATCAAATCGTGAAGTTTGGGGTCAGCAAACTCATCAAATGCGCCAGTGAAAGTATCTCCAGGTGCCAGGCCAACAAGATGAATAAGTATATATCCAGAGTTGGAATTCCGCAGAGCCGATACTTTTCTCAGTAACTCAATAGCTTTACGATCTCTCTTCTCCTTTTTTCTTCTTCTCTGCTCTTGGTTTACTGTCCCTTCTCCAAATAAGTACTTGACATGAATCCCAATAGACAAGACATTGCTTTTTTGGTGAAGCCCTTTCCAGGAATTTACAAGCTGCCTCCTCACGCCGTGGAATATAGTTACTGAAATGAAAAATTGTCAGAACAAATGCACGGAATAAAACGCAAGAAATAAAACAAAAAAACAACCCAACAAAATGTTCTTATTCCGTGGTTAAAATGCAATACTTACTTCAGGCACTCTGTGTGAAATGCTCCTTTTACTTGGCGACACTTTGCACGTGCTATGTCCTTATCTTTCACATATACTGCCGCGGGCTCAGAACCTTTTCGTTTATGCTCTGCTTGCCTTGTATATAATATGTCTTCTGTTTTCACACAGACAGTCACTTGTTCAAATCCTACTGGGGTAAGATGACTTGCTTTCCCATACTTTATTTCTTCATTCTTTGCATAGGTTGAAACTTGATCAAAGCCTGTTGGGGGGCTGTCCCCTTGTCTTGCGTATTTTACTTCCCTATTCCTGGTGTACACAGTGACTTGTTCAAAACCTGCTGGTATTAAGTTCTGGTTCCTTGCATATACTACGTCTCGACCTATGACAGAAACAGTTACGTAGTCAAAACCTTTCGGTAAGGAGCTCCCTTCTTTCAGATATGTGATTTTGTCATCTTTGACACATACATCGACGCACGTAAAACCAACTGGTATACAATCCTGCTTTGTCACATAACGCACGTCCACATCCTTGTTGTACACATTTACGCCTGGTAAATCTGGCTGTATTTCATCTCCACAATAGTCACATAGTATCATGGCATCTGGAAACCTGGTGTTAAAGTTTCACATATGAACACAGAAGTTTGACTGTTAATACAATCTCCTACAGAGGCACAAGCACAGATCGCATGAAACCGAGGTGTCTGTCAAACTGCGCCGTACCTAATGTGGTATTGACTCATACGTATGCGTGGCAACAGCGTCAACACATCACGTGATACACAGCGAATGAGAGCATAGTTATGCACATGATAACTCGAACACAGAGAGTGGTGTGATACCAGCGGATTTCCGAGGTGATCTATTTGCTTAGCAGAACACTGGAGTCGGTAGATCGACGAGATCTCGTAAATTCAGGACCCCTCCGAATGATGACGTCACAAACAAAATGGCGGCCAAATTGTATTGTTGGGTGATCGCCATTTGGAGGTCGGTGACCGTGTGTGTGTGTGTGTATGTGTGTGATGCGTTTGTGCGCTCATGGGGGTAATGACGCGTTGTACATCGACCTGTGACGTCATTCATGGCTGTCGTAACCGTTTGTGTTTCGGCTGTTCGCCCGTTTGCGACGTCAGTTGATCGTTTTAGCTGTTTTAGCTCTCCCAAACAACACAAAACAAGCGTGTATGTAATCAAACAATTCATATTACCGAACAGCTAACTCAACATCCTCCTATTTTTTGCTCTGTTTCATCACATGTAACATTATGCAATACATACAACTTGATGATGAATTACGTTTGTTTAATTATCAACAAATCAGCGACACAAACAGTCATATAGCATTGCTGAAGCCAATGACATTTGTTGGGTAAAGGACGGCAGGGCTACACAGTAAAGGACGGTACAGTCCATATATGGCTAACCAAGCCTTACATTATGGTCTGGATTTGCGTTATGTTCTTCCGACTCCTCGAAGTTGAGTCTAGCTCTAACTTCCGCCCCTCTACTCTGCACCACGTGTGGTCGTCTGACACGGCGTATGCTGCGACCAGAACTGGGAGATACACCATGAAGATTTATATTTGTTACTCTCAACCATGTTTTTACTCGAGAAACAATTATTAAGAGCAAAATCACCTGCACTACTCGTGTGCTTTATTTTAACTATTGTTTGCAAAAAATGCCAATGACAGCATTCTATAGCTACATGGTCGATGTGCGCTATAGTATCGGCATGTAAACATAGTAGCGCAAACAAAAGTAGAAATGTGAAACTGAAACGGAATAGAATTGATTTTCATGTTCTTTATTTTAATTACCGAACCTTGGTATCGGGCTAGTGGGTATCCAGCTTAGCATAAGGGAGCGAACAAACAATGTTCCTGATTCATTCATTCATTCATTCATTCAGCAACTTGAAACATGACTTAAAATACTTCTTCCTTTTAAAATGAAATGAGTATGTAAACAAATAGAAGCAGAAAATATGTGAGGTGAATGGCATGGGAATTTATTTTACAGTTTAATACTTATTATAATATGTGTAAAATTGGTACATTGTATCTAACTATGGACATTCCTGGCCACTTCTGCACAGTGTTTTATGTACTAATACAGCCTTGTTTCCATTGGGAATATTACATTGATGTAATACTTTCCTGTCTCCATCAGGAATATGTCATACTGCCCAGTTTCCATTGAGAATATAACATTGATGTCATACTGCCCAGTTTCCATTGAGAATATAACATTGATGTCATACTGCCCAGTTTCCATTGAGATTATAACATTGATGTCATACTGCCCAGTTTCCATTGAGAATATAACATTGATGTCATACTGTCTAGATTCCATTAGGAATGTAACATTGATGTCATACTGTCTACCTTCCATTAGGAATATAACATTGATGTCATACTATCTAACTTCCATTAGGAATATTACATTGATGTCATACTGTCTAGGTTCCATTAGGAATATATAGAGAATCTCACCCGAGTGTCTTTTGATATCAAATATATCACCACGAGTTGATAAAATAACAAATATCCGAGGCTTGCCGAGGATATTTTTACTTTTATCAACGAGTGTTGATATATTCGATATCAGAAGACACGAGGGTGAGATTCTATTTATCATCCAAAATCACTCTTCATTAATTTTCAATGAAAAATGTACATCTCTGAACACAGTACTGCCATAAGATTTGCAGTGCAGCGATGTCATAGCATTGTGACGTCATCAAGTTCATGACGTCATAGCATTGTGAGGGCATTGTGCAAAATCTACTGTCAAAACGATATCTCCTAGGAGATATCGCCTGATCTCACACAAGCGATATCTCCTGTGGAACACAGTTTTGGATGATAAAACATTGATGTCATACTGTTTAGCTTTCATAAGGAATATAACATTGATGTCATACTGTCTAGGTTCCATTAGGAATATAACATTGATGTCATACTGTCTAGCTTCCATTAGGAAATTTGCATTGATGTCATTCTTTCCTCCCTCCGTCAGTAATATAAGACTAAAGTGATACTGTTCATCCTCCATTGGAATATTACATTGATGTCATACTGCTCAGATGCCATTGGGAATATTACATTGATGTCATACTGCCCAGATGCCATTGGGGAAATATTACATTGATCTCATACTGCTCAGATGCCATTGAGAATATTACATTGATGTCATACTGCTCAGATGCCATCGGAAATATTACATTGATGTCATACTGCTCAGATGCCACTGGGAATATTACATAGATGTCATACTGTCCATCCTCCTTTGGGAATGTTACATTGATGTCATGCTGCTCAGATGCCACTGGGAATATTACATGGATGCCATACTTCGCATCCTCCATTGGGAATATTACATTGATGTCATACTGCTAAGATGCCATTGGGAATATTAAACTGATGTCATACTGCCCAGATGCCATTTGGAATATTACATTGATGTCATACTGCCCTTATGTCATTGAGAATATTACAATGATGTCATACTGCTCAGATGCCATTGAGAATGTTACATTGATGTCATACTGGCCAGATGCCAATGAGAATATTACATTGATGTCATACTGCCCATATGCCATTGGGAATATTACACTGATGTCATACTGCCCAGATGCCATTGCGAATATTACATTGTTGCCATACTGCCCAGTTGCCACATATTGTATTGTTGGGATTACTCTTTCTTAATAAAGTACAGATTATAGTACTTTTTGGGTTGAGCCCCATCCGGGATTCGAATAATACTAGAAAAGTAAAAAAAAGTAGTAGAATCTGTACATTATTTAGAAAGCGTTATCCCAAATATGGGATATGTTACATTTGACCACTTTCTAAATGGCATTGTGTAATTATAGCTTTCGGCCGTGGAAGCCGTGCCAATTTACAATTATCAGAGGGTTACACAAAGTCCTCAGTCTAGACTACCAGTTGTCCGACTTCCATTTCTGTGGAAGTCGCGGTGGCTGAGCGGGTTAGGCAGCTGACTCTGAGGGTCTGGCTTCGAATCCCGGATGGGACGCAACTCAAAAAGTGCTAGAATTTGTACCTTATTAAGAAAGTGTACTCCCAAGTATAACATATGTTACATTTGACCACTTTCTAAATGACATTGTGTATTCATGCCCAGATGCCATTGTGAATATTACATTGATGTCATACTGCCCAAATGCCAGTGGGAACATTACATTGATGTCATATTGTCTAGCCTCCATTGAAAATATGACATTGATGGCTTGTTGGGGGTTGGGATGTCTCACATCAACACAGTAGCCGTGACGGTAGGAACAGCATTCTCGACAGGAACAATTGGTGTGAACTTGTCTTCAGCGACTCCATGCTCCTCCTTGAAGCTTCTCACATGTCCTCAGCTAGTGCCCTCTTGTATCGGAGTGAGTACAGGCTAGGGCACAATGTTTCCCCTGTAAAGAATTATTCAAGAGTGGTCATGTGCCTGTTCATATTGACACAAGAATGACCAATCAGTCACCATGCTCCCGTGTTCCCGACTACGTCACGTGACAGGTTCATATGTGCAACCATACCTGATGAGAGGTCCTTGCTGACACTACAATGACAATCAGTCACCATATGCCCGTGTTCCCGACTACGTCACGTGACAGGTTCATATGTACAATCATACCTGATGAGAGGTCCTTGTTGACACTACAATGATCAATCAGTCACCATATGCCCGTGTTCCCGACTACGCCCCTTGTCAGGGTATTTGTCATGTTTAATGGGAATGTAGAGAATCACAAACATTTTTGAATGAACTTGTTTGGATTAACAACAATAATAAAGAACACAATTGAAGTAACAAAATACTTTGTTTGGTTTGGAACATTATACATTGATAGATTATTGAATCATATTATCTTACCTGCTAAAAATATATCCATTTATGTGGGATTAAACAACACGCTCCAAAACTTCAAATATTGTTGGTTGTTTTGAGAGAAAGTGTCAGTGTAAAAAGGGTAATTGAAAATAAATAATAGTCTTCAGAATCACGACAAAAAATGGCTATCTATATTCCCAACTCAACAATAAGCCTGGATTCACTGTTGGTTTGTACTCTTGAATTCTGTGGGCCAAACCCTGAAAATGTCTATTGCTGTATAACGGTGTACTCTTGGGAACAATAAAATAACATATTTAAACAGTTCCCTCACTCAGTCTTTAAACAAAACTAGTTCGTATTGGTGCAACATTTCCCTACAGTTACTAGGACTGCACGGTGTTACCGGTACACCGGTATACCGCAATACACTTTTCAAACGATACATAATGTAGTATCTTTTCTGAGAACCGGTAAATTGGGTAAAGAACATATATAAAGTTTTCGTGAGTATCTTTATAGCTTACATTTAAATGTACACAGATTTTCATTCACAGCAAATGTTTTCCTTCGTTATTCAATTACAAAACAGCAAACTGTAGTGCAACAAATCGTATAAAATAGAAAATAGCTGACTATGCAACCTAATTTTGAGACTGCTATTATCAGAACATATATTTTGGGGGACTTATAGAAAATTGGATCGATATGTACAAATATTGTCACTTACTGCCAAACACATACGTTTTCATCGTATCGCAGTATGTATCGCAATATGGGTACCTGAATCGCAATATATTGCAATACAATGTTTTTGCCAATACATAGCTCTAACGGTTAATAACAGACCGGGAAAGCCACATTTAAGAAA